TACATTTTATTTTCTTTCTAATACTTTTATAAATTTCCTGCATTTTATAAATACTGTAGTTTATAGTATATGTGGAATATTGGGACACTAAACCATGTTTCATTTCACAGAATAAAAGTATCTCTTGGTCTAGTTGTATCAAAGCAACATGGTTATTGTCAAACATCCTGGAGTCTGTAGGAAGCTTGAGAAGTAAAACGAAAGTTTTCATCTTCATCAATTCACTATTTATTCCTACCTGTGTGGCTGTGCACTTGTACATCAACAGCTTGCATCTTCTGCTGCAATGGCCATTGTTGAGAGCCACAGCCGAAGGGGCCCCAGCAAACTTCCAGCTGCCAGCAAACTTCCAGCTGCCAGCTGACTGGCTCCTCTGTGGTGATGCTCATTGGGCTGTTTCCTCACCCTTTTAGGCCAGGGAGCTGCTCATTGGGGGACTTTTTTTGGCTCTGCCCACTCGTCCCAGCCAATCAGCCTCAAGAGCAGGAGGAGTGGGAGAGGTTGAGAGGCTTGTGGGAAGCTGGTGGTGGCAGTTGGGCTCTGAAGGTTTTTCCTGAGGAGCTGTGTGGTGTGGTGTGTGTGTTCTAAAAATGAAGTTCGTTTCTTTTGACAAGTGGCTCCTGAATTGTGCCCAGCCAGACTGCAGCAGGCTATCACATGTCCTCTCTTCTGTTCTCCCCCAGATATTTTGTCTTCTGGAGCAAGCTCCAATTCAAGTCCCCAACAGCCTCCCAGATCATTAAGTTGTGCCAGGCACTGAAGGAAGCCCAAGGAAACACTTCTGGTTTTTCAAAACTCCAACTGAAGAAAGTTGAGGGAAAGTTTCTTCCTTCATTTTCTACTGCATGAACTGTGCAAATGTCTTCTTGAGTTGAGCTTCCATTCAGAGCTGCTGAAACATATCCATTTCTAGCCAGAGGCAGTGAGATAAAAAATACCATGGGCTCTTTTGACATACTTCAGCAGGTGTAACTTGGCCAGGGTTTCAAACTCCTACACTTATTGGAATTGTGTCCTTAGGCATCCTCGTCTATGTCATTCACTCCTGTGTTCCATTATGTCTGAAGAAGTAAACTAGGATTCTGATACAACATGAGAAACCTTGGGTCTTTGGCCTGCCCTGAAACTATGAAAGTGTACACGAATTTAAAGTCCATTGACAATAATGGAAAATATTCCATGTAGAGTCAAATGAGTGGGTTAGTTTGGGCATGTTGGTAGTCACCTTCGAAAAGGAAAAGTGTAATCAAAATGTGGCATAACATAATATTTTAACATTTTGAAAAAGAAAAAAAGAATGGATCCTTAGGCTTAACATACCATCAAAATTATTTTAAGTTTTAATTACTTTCAGTCTTTTTCCCACATACATATTTATTTGTTTTTACATAGCTGCCATCCTATAATAGTCACCATCTGGTATTCTTCTTCTAAAAATTTATCAAGTTACAAAAATGTTCCCATGCTTCTATGTAGTGTCTCAATTTCTATTTTTAAAAACTGCACAATGCCTACCAAGTAGATGCAGTAGTTTGATGTATCAATTATTTCTCCACTTTTCACCAATTTCCCAAATTGAAAACATTAGACAAAGATATGGAGGTACCAGGCCATATCAGCAGCCTGCTTGCCTCAAACAAGCACCCAAGGTTGCTTTCTTTTACAGGAGGTATTCCTGGTCACGTAAATGGGGTGAGATAAACTGTGTCTTGTGAGAGAGCTGAACAACAAGAGTCGAGTTGGAAAATAAGCAAGAAAAGATAAAAATCCATAAACAGATGGGAGAGAAATCAGCTGCTCCTTCCTGATTCATGGGACTAGAAATAGGTGATTGACACCAGTTTTTGCTGATATGGAATAGGTACTCTTCCACCTCTCAAGCAATATAACTCTTCACTGAGGAAGAATAAAAGAGCAAGCATCCCTAAATATCTTCAGATGGGTCATCGTCATACAAGTGAAGTTTCTAATCTACCATATTTGAAGGGCTAGTAATTAAGGTTGGAAACAGTTGTTCAAGGAAGACAGAAATATTTTATTCTAGAAAGTAACACTTTGGATGAGTCTACCTAAAGGATATCACGAAGATGATAAACTGATAGTTCTTAATTTTTTTTTATTTTAATAGACTGTACAGGACAATTTTAGGTTCAAACCAATTTTGAGAAGTGTAGGAATTCCCTGTGCATCCCCTGCCCCCACACATGTGCAGCCTCGCCCACCAGAGTCGTCTGTTTGTTACAGACAATGGACCTACAGGAACACACAGTTTATACCCAGAGTCCATAGTTTACATTAGGGCTCAATCTTGATGTTGTACATTCTAAGGGTTTGGACAAATTTATAATGACATGTATCTGCCATTATAATGTCACACAGTGTCGTTTCACCTGCCCTAGAAACCCTGTGTTATAACTTCACTTTTTGAACTGAACATTTATTATGGAAATGGAGATCATGCTAATGAAGGTCAGAACACTGAATCTTTGTTAATTGTACCAATGTCTTGTGATTGTAATTGTTAAGAAGCTTTTAACTTAGCATTTTCAGATGAAATGATGTCTAAAATTCTGGACATAACTCTGGTGTTAAACACATCCTGCTCAGGTCCTTAAGAGAGCTATTGATGGCCCATAAGGTGAACTTGCACAAAATTTAAAAAGGAAAACCCACACCCATGGCAGTACACACCAGTCATGTATTTTTCTCCGATTGTCCCCCTGGCTTAGGTGTCCTTGGACAGGGCACATTTGACATTACCGTGTGCACCAGTCCTGATCCTGAAAATTTCTTTTGTAAAGTTTGCCTCTGGTTTCTTTGCTTGGCAGTCAAGTATCCAGTCAGATGCCAAAGTCAGGTCATTTGCTCCCTACTGGGTCATTTCATGCCTCACCAAGAGAGTTTGGCCTGTTAGCAAATTTCTCTGCCATGTACCCCAGCCACCAGAAAAGAGGCCAAGATGCAGTTACTGAAAAGCCCATTAAGCAACCCTGTCTTCCTTTTCTCCTTGCAGTATGTCTAGGTATATGCCTTTGGGGTATTGCTCATTTGCACATTGGGGAGAAGGTGAGGAGGTAAATACAGTGATTGGCCTTTTCCATTAGCCAAATTGTTTGGGTTGGTAATAAAGATAACCTTAGTAATAAATATAACTGTTAAAATAATGTAAGGGCTGCGGCTATAGCTCAGCATCAGAGTGCTTGCCTAGCATGTGTGAGGCACTGGGTTGGATCATCAGCACCACATAAAAATAAGCAAATTAAATAAAGGCATTGTGTCCATCTACAACTACAAAATTTTTTTAACTAATAGTAATAATGTAGAATGGGGCATGGATGGTAGATATGTTGGCTTTTTTCGTTTTTGTAAGGTGGCTCGCAGAATTTTAAACTCTGGACTCAGAGTTCCAGAAAGTATGACAAGCAATAAAAAAGAAGTTGCTTGCTCCCAGTCATCCCTGGTGGATGACAGAGTCTATCTTTTATCTTTACAATCTTGACCTCATCTAACACCATGGCCTCTGGCCATTTGTGACTATTGGGCCTATGAGATGAGGTCATAACAATTGAGGTGTATCATTAAGTGTGAAACACACATGAAATTTTGAAGACTTAGCTTAAGTTAAAAATGTCTCAAATATAATCATTTATTAAATCATTTCTTTATTCAAGAATTGGCCATGTGGGTAGTTATTAAAAATAGAGCAATGAGTCCGACAGGTTCAGATTGAGCCTTTATTGAGTTTAAAGGCAAGCCGACTTTGTTAAAAAATTTCTTCCGTGATGCCTTAACGTTTCACGTGAAGTCTTTGACAATATTTCTGATACTCCTGAACAGACATCATTGTCGCCTGCTGAAACGTGAAGCCAAAAGATGCGAACCAGGAGCCAGTTGCCAACTGCTGCCAGGCAAAAGCGCATTTTCTCATTGCTCTAGAGCCTCATTGTTCACTAAAAGAGCCACTTGTCCCATGTGACTGTGAACACTTGAAATGTGGCTAGTCTGAATTGAGACATGCTGTTAGTGTAAAACACACCCTGGATTCCAAATATAGTATGAAAAAAAAAATGAACATAAAGTATCTCATTCGTGTTTTTATATTGAGTCCATAGCAAAATGATAATATTGCATGTATATTGGATTAAATAAAACATACTGGTAAAATTAATTTTACCTGCTTCTTCTTAATGTGGTTGCAAGAAAAATTGACATTACATATGTGGCTCACATAATGTTTTTATTGGCTAGCATTTCTCTATACTCATTCTTTCCATTCTGTCAGTGCCAATGACCGCAGTAAACGGAGCTTAGCCTTCCAGGAAGCTGTGGAATGAACTTAAGGAGGAACTTATTGAACCTGGCTAGGGCACTGTAAGATACCTCAGCCCACTTTTTCTCTCCTGTTTGAAGGGTCACTTGTATCTTGAGTGATTAGTGAAGTGGCTGAAAAGCCTAGAGAGGTTGACGCAATAGAGAGGCAGCAGATGGTAATCAGAAAACCTGATTTCTCTGTTCTCAGAGTTCCCACTTACTGAAGGATGAGAGCAAATCATCGTGAGATGTTGTGGAATCTCTATCTCTTTAGATATGAATATAAAAATAAACTTCCTCTCGCTTTCAGATAATATTGGAGCAAGTGAGATGAAGATATAGGAAATCACCTGATACATTGTAAAGCCTATTGCCATTATTATCCTTTGTAATAATCCTCATCATAACGACTTTAAGCAATCAAGAAAAATTGTGAGAGAAAAATATCGTAACTCTGGGGAATTTCCAAAACCAACAAAAATTCAAACAAATATTGAAAAATTCAAACCAATAATGAATAAACAGGCTGACAAAGGAAGAAAAGAGTTAAAGAGATGGGGATTTACAATTGAGGCATGCATGCAAAAGAGAAGAGACAATTTAGTTTGGGGAACTCACTTCTTAATCAGTTGTCTGATGCCAGGCGATCACTTTGAGTCTTTTTGTTTTGTTTTGTTTTGTTTTCTTACCTTTCCAGTGAATTTTCTTCTGTAGTAGCCATTAAAACACTACTGCTGTAAAATGAAGCCCTCTCCCTATTTATGTTTGGTCAATTGTTTATTTCTGTGGTAGTGGCAGGGGGTGGACTCTGATTTCACACTGCATAAGTTGAAGCTTTGAAACAGAGGAGACTCTGTACAATCTCTGGCTGAGCAATACCAGGCACCACACCACTTAGCCTACAATGGCACACTAGGGGAACACAGAGACACGATTATTTTCCTGAGTATCTGAGCTGGGTGCAAAATTCCTGGTCTCCATTAGACCCTGAAAATCAAGGCAGATCAGAGGGCCTCAGAAGTCCTGTTTGGCTCTGCTTGCTGTAGTCTGGGAAGTTTGTGGCAGTGTGGAAAGCTGAGTTGTTTTGTGCTAACTGGACTGCACAAAGATTCAAAAAGTATTTCAAATGAGAGCTAATTTCCATCAATGAATACATTTTCTAATGTGCATGACAAAGCAATTCATACCACAGGGAAAGGCATAGAAATGAAAGAAAACTGCTCCAAGAAGTTTCCAGAAGATAAGACATATAGAATAATATTGGAAAATTAAAATATTTTTTAAGTAGGGTATATTATAAAATAGTGCATGGCCATTTTTTCCCAAAGAAAGATCCAACCATCACCTCCCTCATAAGAGTATGTTATATTTAGTTTAGATGTGGAGTAAAAGAGCAAGGGCATCCAATGTGGCAAAATCACAGAGATATTTAAGAACTGTGAGCAAATTTATCTGGAAGGAATGGAGTAGCTTAGGGAGAAAGTTTCAGCGGGAAGCAATGGCATACTCCAGTGGAGGCACTGAGTAGCATTTAGTGAATGTATTGTTTGCAATGATATGAAGAGAGTTAAAGATCCAAGGAGAGACACTGGAACATCGTGAGTTGAGCAACCAAAAGGTTTTACCATCTAAGTCAGAAGTAGAAAGTAGAAGAGGTCACTGTTGGAACCTACAGAGAAGAGAACTGTAGGAAAGTGCAGACTGAAAAAGAACAAACTCCCAAAGCTCACAAATGTGCAGAGAAGGAGGAGGAAAATAAACAACCGGAGAATTATTCTTCTCCAACTCTTTGATCTCCTGACAGGCCTCCATTGGCCAAAGCCAAGCCAAAGCCAGACTGGGGGGAAAAAAATCTGTTGATGTTTTCCATAAAAATTAGCCTGCTGGTACACAGTAGAACAGGGAAGGTAGGAGAGAGTAGAAATAGAGGTGCAAATAGAATAAATAAAAATTTATCCACAAGAGCTTACAAATTAGACCAAGAGGTTATCTATGGGACTTGAAGTTTTCCAGTGGTGGTAAGATGGGGAAATATTCACAGGAGCTGTTTATGTCAGTACCCTTGTTTGCTCTGAATATCTGTCTCATACTGTCCCATGTCAGAGAGCTCACACTGCAGAGAGCAGAGAACTTGGTTAGAAGCAGCTGTCCTATTGAGATCTAAAAGGAAATACCTAAAGCAAGGATTAAGTAGTAGAAAAAGATAAGAGGCCCACAGATCATTTTAATGGTCCATAAGAATTCCTAAAGTTTAAAAAAAAATTATTGTTTCTAATCTTGAATTTTCTATAATCCTGAGATTTATGTTAATCTAAATTTTGATTAAATTTTGATTGAACTAATCCCCAACTCTGTATTCATTAGGCGAATAAATATGTTTTAGATTTTCTTTTCCTTGACTTAGCCAGCTATTGACCTGAACTGTTCAAAAGCTTACTGAGTCTCTACCTAGCCACTACACAGAAAATGGTATATTCCAGATATTTAATAGGGTATTTTCCTTAATATGAATTTTTAAAAATTGTTGGATCCTTCCATACGTTTTAACATAAGATGTTGATAATTAAAGAGTTATAAACTGTTTGGTATAATTCATGTTTTAAAATGCATGGTCCCTGGATGGCTGGACACTGACTCAGTGAGACCTGGTGGGACTCTGAACAGTCTCTCCTCGGTGCTCAGCACACCCTATTGAGCACAGATTGTTTCCATGGAGACCCCGAGTTCATCCTGGCCCTGTGGCCCATCCCAGTTGCAAAGCAGGACTATTTCCTGCCTTCCTGCCCAGGGTAGCAGGAAGCATCCAACTCTGTCAGCAACCTTTGCTCTTGGCACCACCTCCCAGCAGGGCTTTGGGTTCTCTGCCAGGAATTTCAAAAAAGTAACTCTGTTTTGTTTTGGTTTTTTTCTTAGTTTTGGGGTTTTTTATCCAGAACTCAGCTTGTGAGCAAAGAAAGGGAACCCGATTTGTCATACATCCAGGGTTTTAGAGAAATGACATGGCTTCAGGCCTGGTTCTAATACCAGGCTGGAGCAAAGCAGCAGCCCTGTCTATCCGGTACACTCTCCAAGATTCGTTGAGGGAATCAGTTCTGAGTGAGATTCTGTGAGCTTCAAACTCACAGAACTGGGGAACTCTGCAGAGTGTCTCCAGTACTGAGCACAAAGAGCCACAGAGGCTTAATGCGTATTTGCTCTGCTCCCTTCTCCTGCTTCCTCTCTGGGTCTGTGCTCTGACCCATGAACATCCTCAGCTAGAGTACTATTTATCACCCATATCTCCAGCTGAATTTCCTACCTTTGGTAGCCGCTCAGATTATGTTATCCAGATATCCAGTACCCAAAATAGATGCTTTCAAACTATAACAAACTTCCAACTCACCTATCAAGTTAATGTTAGACAACACTAACTGGAATTTTTGTTGTTACTGTTCTTTTTCATTTGGCTCTGGTATAACACTAAATGCTTTGCTTGGAATTTAGTTAATCCTTCTCATCTCTCCATTAGGAGATGATTGACAATCCCCATTTTGTAAATGGAAAAACTAAGTTTTAAAAAGATCAAGTCATTAGGCGAGGTTTATAAGAAAGTAGGGTAGACAGGGTCTGCTAAGTCGCTCAGGGCCTGACTAAGTTGCCAAAACTTTGAACTCTCAATCCTCCTGCCTCAGACTCCCAAGCCCCTGGAAGAACGTGTGACTTCTAATCTTCAACAGAGACCCTGCCTTGACCCATCTCTGTTCCTGTCCAAGGGACAGACATCAGAGAAAGAGAACACCTCAGTGTTTTGCTTCTCTGACCAAGAACCAGCCCTGAAGATTCACTTCCTGACCCTTTGTCAGGAGATCCTGGTTCTGGTCCCAGAATCACTGTGGTCCCATAGTAAAAGGCACCCCTTTTAAAAGACCAGAGAAGTCCCGGATTCTACCATGTACAACAAATCCTCAAAATTTCCCTCTTTGGGTTTAAGTTTAAGATCCTTTAATGGAGAGCTTATGACTTTTTGTCCGAAGTCTTTTGGGACAAGTGTGTGATAAAGACCCGACATGAGGTGACCATCCATTCTGTGGGAGTGATGTTACCTCTCACTCTAAAACACTAATCCTCCTGTGTTTCTCAATAGATAGGTGGTAGATGGATGATTAAAGATAGATAGATACATAGATAGATAGATAGATAAAACATTAGCATTACACTAAAATTCATGACTTAGACATTTTTATATATTTTACTCTGTCACACCCAGAGTTTTATGGTCATGAGAGCAGCCTTAGGGCCAAAGTCATGGGTGGTTGATTCCAGTTGTATGAATTGAAAAGCATAGAATTTATCAGCTATTTCAAATGAGCTTAATAATTCATTCCTTACTAAAAATAGACTATTTTATTTCTTTGTGCATTTATTCTTATGGATATTATCAAGTACTTCACAGGCATCAGCCACTGTGGCCAGACAGGAAAAAAAAAAAATCATGGGAACTGTGGTATCATATTTGGTGAAAATCTGGCTCCTGTAATGGACATTCTTATATGATTAGAGTCTGCTTAGCAATACTCTGAATAGGTGTAGAATGTGTCAGAGAAAGCAGTAACCAAGGCAATTTGGAGAAAACCACAGCAAGACTGCAGGAAGAGACCAGTATAAGAGCAACCCTGAAAGGAGAGGCTTTTTGTTCCCTGGAGGAGCCCAGGGTCTTGCAAAGACCATTGGAGATGACAGATAGGATATCACTCAACTCCACAAACCCATCAGGAGAGAGAGCGCCACAAGAGCGGTTATAGGACAAAAGGTGAACCAGTCTGCATGAAGATGGGACCAGACATTTAAAAACAGGGATAAGGCACATGTTTAGTTAATTCAGAAAAATAAAGGTTCACAATTTCCCTTAGGGTGCCAAACAGATTGAGAATCATGAATATAAAATGAACAAAAATGTATGATGAGGCTACTCAGTGCAGAATTCTGCAAGACCTAACTTTAAAGTCTGGATTTCCTTGGAAGTACCAATGAGACTTTTTACAGAATGAGCAGAGTCCCAGGGACACAAATTCAAACAACAAATAGCTAACATGGTAACAGTTCTCTTGTCCTTTGAACTCAAAGGAGTATGTTTTCTCCTGTTGTTTTTTTAAATTAATGTCATCACTTAAAAATGCACTGTAGCATTTAAAGATTAAGACCTAGCAAGGCAGAAACAATCCTAAACTTCTTTACTCTTGCATGTCAAAATTCGGGACAATAATTACAATGATAATATAGTGTCCCTTTAGAGTTCAATAATTTTATCATCCCTCGTTGTTACTGTTTGATTTCTCAAATATGAAATTTCAAAACTTTTCCTTTTTTAAAAAAAATGTATATTCTGTGTAAAATTTTAAAAATTATCTAGAGATTTAGAAATGTCAGTACAATAAAGTCTAGCAAGTCTCTGTTTACAGAATGACTTATGGTTTACAAAGAATGTTGCACATATTTTCTGATTTGACTTCAACCATTTTGTGAAGAAAACGGGGAAATTTGCATAATTTCCATCATCCAGAGGTGAAACCTAATCCTCCAAGAAGTTAACTGTCACCAAGAAGTTGACACAGCTAGTAAGAAGGGAAGCAGAGACAGCACCCCATGTTCTCTGATTACGAGTTACCAGATTAGTTGAATGTTGCCAGGACAGCAACAGAATATCAACTGCTGGGAGAACGGCTGCTTTTATAGAGATAATAAACAGCTTTAGCATCAGGTGAAAGTCAGTGGAAATAAATTGGAAGGCTGGGCTAGATAAAGCAAAGAAAGGAAATC